ATGACTCTTTCTCTCTCTCTGTGGACTCACACTTGATAGGTCCTAACTTCCCGATCTGTGCTCTCATTCTCCTTCAGCTCCAGCCATGGCCTCAGGTGCCAGGCGTACTCTAGAGAGGCTGATCTAATGCTTCCTCAGCTATAATGACCCACGCCTAAAAACCCACTCGCACTGCCGTTTCCTTCGCTTCTACCAGCCTTTCACTCATACGTTATATCTCTCGCTCCGTCCCTCTTCTGCTTCCCTTTCCCCCCCCGTGTCCATAGGAAACAGTCTCTTCCGCTCTGAGCTGCTGGGTCACTCCTTCCCACATCCATCAGCTGTTAATGGGCCCGTGCTCTGAGGAGATGGAGAAACATCTCTGAGCCACCCCACACTCACACACACATATAAAAGCTCATCTGAAACGCATGGAAATGTTAATGACCACAGGCTAAACCACTGTGTGAAGCAAAAATGATTAGCTTATCAATCAGAGGGAGAAAAGTGCGTAGATTTGAAAGAATGAGGTTGGGACTGCGAGCGGGGCTGCTGTCATCACAAATGCAATGACAGCTCTTTTAAAAGACACAAAAGGCTAAGGACAACAAAGGAAGAATTTCTCTCTCCCTCTCACAGGTGGTCAACTTCCTAATAACCACTTAAAGGCATCTTCCCGCTCCATTTTCTCTGCTGTCCTGCAACTTTCCTGCGCGACACCGCCTTCTGACCCGTCATTAAAAACACATCTCATCTTTGGAAAACGTGTGGGATTTATGATATGCACAGACCGACAGACACACACAACTATTCAGCCCTCGACTTCTCCTGAATAACAGGTTCAATTAGAACCACATGTATAATCAGGCCTCAGACTATAGCAATGTGGCGGCACTTTCACTGTGCAGTCAATCACTTCAATACACAACCAGAGCACTCCCCCACTTGATACATAACACCTTCATTTAATCCATTAATTTGTCAATTATATTTCATTAACATATTTTTAAAGAGGTAACAAGCCGTGATTGCTATTGTAATGCTACTCGGTGATTACACATGGAGACGTGTAGATTTCCATTTTTCAATTTTTTAAATCACAAAGAAAATCCCTAGAAATCTAAGATGTACTAAATTATAATATGATTCACTTTAAGACATGTTTAAACAATTGTCACAACCTATAGAATAGCTCATCCTACACCATTTTCACATTTAAAAGCCCCAAAAATGTTCAGCTCAAAAGCGCACACCGTAACGGAAGCTGCAGGATCAACACTTTCAATAATTCAATCTTTTCTTTTTTTTATGCTTTCGCTCCATGCACAGTGACATTTTTTGCTTTTCTCAAAACCCATCTAAAAGATATCGACAATTTAACCATTTCAGCTTTTTTGAGCAGGTAATGCACTGAAGTGCTGCAGTAGAAGTAAACCTGTGAGTATCCATCACAGGTCAAATCCTACATGTATAGCAGAGTTGTATACGGGTGCTCTTCAACATCACTTTGGTGCCAAAAGCCCACTCAGACTTGTGGGCTTGGGAGCAGGAGGGCTCTAATGAGGGGAGAGCGAGAGATGGAGAGACGGACAGGCGAGCCATCAACGCTACCGACGCACAGGACATTTAAAACTTCAAATACTGTCCATTTTCACTCAAGCAGGACAGGTGAATTGAGAAAAAGCACTCTTGTGCACACACACTCCCGCACTCAGATATATACACTCTTCCACACATACATTCACACACGCTCATGCTGGAGGTAAGGACTCTCTGAGTGAGTTTATGGACTAACACAATCATGTTGCTGGCTTTTAATCCTGCTTGAAGGGGTTTTAAAGCGCATGAGATTCACAGCCGTTAATGCCCGTCTCTAGACGGTCTCATACATGTGCCGGAGTCACACACCGGAACACAGTCACACACACACTGACCGGGCTGAAAATCATAATTTAAGTGATGTGTCAGTAAGCATAACAGAAACAATTGTCTGCTGGAGAACAGAGTCTGAAACTGATAAAAATCAGCAGCACATGAGCGACTCTTACAAACAATGAAACAAAACAGGACATGGAAAAGACACAGCTGTCGAGAGGAGGCAGGAAAAAAAGGCAAAGAAGGAAAAGTGTTGAGGCTAGTCAGATGAAAAAAGGTGGCAATGCTGAGGCAAACACACGGACGCACAATAGCCGACAGAGAGCAGAGAGTCAATCTGTCTCTGACACCTCTGGCTTCCTGCACACATACACTCTCCTTTAAAACCAAATTCTCAAAAACTCTTTTATCTCATTGTTTTATTTCCATGAAAAGCCTTTACCGATGTGATGAATTTGCAAAGCACATCATAAATTATAACTTTACAATGAGCTGTTACTGTTGGTAAATGCTGCAGTGTTCAAGTAGAAGTCATTAAAAAAAAAAAAGTCCTCTACCTATCAGCAGTGTCTCGCTGTTCTCCCTGAGCTTTATATTTGTTTCTTTTGAAGGTTTGTCAGGCCATTTTAAATAAAATGTACAATTCACTAAATTGTTCAGTAATCTGAATTTTGTTGGAAATCCAAACATGGTTGTTTTACAGTATTTGAGACATGTCAGCTGCCGAGCCTTCACTGTGCCAGAGAGAATTGAAGCAGCTGGAAGAACATGTAGCTACATGAATTTTTTAAAGAAAGTCAAAACTGGATTTTTCCCCCCCATGTTCCTGGAAAATCATTTCAGCAAATTCAGCATTTAAGAATTATCTAACTGTGAGATGCTGTCAGCTTACATTTGTGCTAATTGTTGTCACACTATAAAAATTGATTCAGGTGTACAGAAATGCAAATTGTGGACCAGTTGCATTTCTGTCTTTGTAAAAATAAAAAAATCTTAAAATTCAGATATTGATCAAAATGTGCTGATTTAAAAAAAACATTTAAAACATTGATGCAGATTTTTATGAAGGCTTCGCATGAATGTGTTATTCATCTAGGGGAAATAAACTTTTTTCCTAATTCTGCAAACACCTTACTCCTGGGACTCGAAGCCACCACAAAATACCTGCTTTCCTGTCTGACACCAGAAATGTGACAAGGTCATAAAACGTGATGAAGAGCTTTTTCATTCCCGCTGGATCTTCTATTAAAGTGCAATTAAAAGTGTGTCATCGCGTCGCGGAAATGCCACCACAGAGGACAGGAGGGGGGTGGTGGGGGGGGGGGGGGGGGAAGGGGGGACACAACAGGAGAGAGAGGACACAGTAAATAAAATTAATTATGCCAAATGCCCCGGCGCCCATCAATCACGGGGCAATAATGCCCGTGTCAGGGTGTGCACCCACACGGCCTGTATGCTTTCTCTCAATGACAGACAACTAACAGCGATTAATTGTCGTTTCATCTCTCCCTCTTTTTTGTCTGAACCCTTCCATCACGCGGGACATGAGTCCATCTGACATGAGGGAATGTTGTGATGTTTCATATTTGATTTCTTTAGTTTTATTTTTAGGTGGGAAAGAAGAAAATAACAACTTATTTTTAACAACACTTAAGTAGATGTTACATGTTTTGTGTTGTGGGCAGTCCCGCAAATTAAGGGTGGATTTTAATCTGTTTATGTCATTATAAAATGTTATTTTAAAAATTATAGTTCCGGTAATACTTCTTGTTTTCTCTATGAAGAAAATATAATTTTCCTTTGTGGTGTAGGCTGAGTTCAGGCGGTTTGTGACTGCAAAAAGAAAGGGAAAACATGGGTCATGCAGAGGTTCCATATAGACTTTAACCCCCTTAATTTCTAAATGTATAACATTGTCTAAGTTTGTTTTAAATATGTGGGCCTCTTTGTATAGGTTTTCATATAGAACGTTTTATTTTTATTTAGTGCCATCAGTTGTGAATTATGAATAAATCAAACGCATCGGTGTTATAATGCACTAATTATCACTGTCAAATTAGATCCGTTTTAATATTATCCGTTCAACTTTTATTATGATTTAACAACTTTTCTTCACGTCCTGCTGTTAAAACCCTCAGTTTAAGGCCTTTATTGTTATTTATTTAATCCGGTGAGATTATATGGAAACAACAAAAAAACTCTGAGGCTACTTAACGCGGTTCCGATTTCAAAAGTCAAAATGGTTTGAAAAGAAAGTCCCCTGACCTATTGACAATGCCCCAAAAAAAGAATGTTCCCCTATGGTTAAACAAGGGGTGTATATCCTCGGTTAAGGATTTAGAGCCTTTTTTAATTAAAAAAGTTATCGTTACATTTTCCAAAACAAAATGGATATAATAGGAGACAGTGCTCAACGGCTGAGAGTTAAACAGGTAAAGCGATGACAAAGCACTCTCACACGGGTGTGTAAAATGATCACCACATAACCTACGGTGGTGTTTATTATCAAATCCCTTAACAAGCGCTAATAATGGCCACGCAAAATTAAATTCTTGCCTCCATTCAAATCCCGACATTTTAGTTAATCCTAACCTGAGACACTTTGTGTTGTTCCTCGGACAATGACACTTTCTATAAGCACCGGTCGCTCAGTGCACTAAACTGCTTCGATCAATTATAAGAGTTCAGATAAATTGACCATTAAAATAAACCTCGTTTGAAATGAAGCACAGTTTGACTCTGTGTATAACACGTGTGGAAGTTGGGAAGAAATCGCAAGAAAGTGGATGCACCTCTATTGTAGAAATTGATGAAAACTTCAAAGAGGATTTAAAAACGTGGCTGATAAGTTTAGCATTCAACGATCCGGTGAAAAGAAAGTTACAATGTAACATGAGGGAAGTCACAAAGAGGGAAACACCGCGTGTGCCAGCCTTTATAATACTCTCTAATACTGTAATATATTTTAAGGCTGACTTGGAGATGTTTCACAAACAATGTGCGATGAAAAAGTTGAAGTTCGAGTTGTTTTTGCCTTTTACTAGACTAATGTGTGTGTCAGAGAGTTTCAATGGAAGCACACAGTGAGGAAAGAGTGAGGAAGGTTAAAACAAAGTGGGAAAGGAGAGTGTAGATAATGCATCAACCTGTTCTCTTGTTTTCTGAAGAAGTCAACTTTCACGCCAGTGGTTGGACCATGTGGACAGCCCCGCTTCTGCTCCTCGAGCCCCCGATGCGTCCACTCTCTCGCGGCGACAAAGGGGGACACAAACCGACGAAAAAAATCTCAAAAAAAGAAAAATGGAAAGGAACAGAGAGGGGAGAGAGAGACAGAGAAATCTAGGATCTAAGACCGCAGGACCATTACTTTAAACGACAAAGCGTGCTCGTTAGTCCTTTCCTTTTCCCTTTTGTGTGCGTCCTCTCTCCTCGGAGTGGCCCCTCTGGAGTGAAGTCAGAACAATACTGCCGCTAAAACTCTGGCACTGTGCGCAAGTTGCCGCGGAGAAAGCGCGCAGCTTCTCGTCTTGTTTTGTTGCGTCTGCTTCCCCTCGCTATCTCTTCGAGAGGCTTCTTCAGCGCGAACAAGCTCTCCACCGGTCCTCACTTTTTGGCATCCCGTCTGTTGCTTGCTCGTTCGCTGGAAATCAGGGTTGAATCACTAGGGCTGTGCGAGTGAACGAGTGTGGAGTGTGTGTGTTGCGAGAGGGACAGTTTGCTGCTGCGCTAACCGTAATTACTCTAAAGCAGGTGCGCGTTTTTCAAATCGCTTGCCCTATCCTCGCAAAGCCCTGGCGCACAATAGGAAAACAGCAGCCGGTTTTGAGGTTCTCTCTCTCTCTCTCTCTCTCTCTCTCCCAGGTGTGTGTGTGTGTGTGTGTGTGTGTTGTGTGTGTGTGTGTGTGTGTGTGTGTGTGTGTGTGTGTGTGTGTGTGTGTGTGTGCGCGTGTGTGTGCGTGTGCGTGTAAGGGGAAGGCACTGATCTTTTGACCTCCCTTTGCATCCCGGCTGAGTTGTGCTATTGTGGAGGCAGAGAGGAACAGATGTTAGCCTGCACAGAGTTTGAGCTCAAAAACCGTCAGAAACAAAGCACGATCACACAAACTGAAGCAGCCTGATATTTAAAAACACTTTGATTTTCTTTAAACACTTGTTCATTTCAGAGTTTTAAAAATGTGCATCGGTTTATATACAATTTAAATAAAGTCTATTTTTCTACATTTTTCGCTCTTGAAACACCTTTTAGTGATACAAGTTTCATCTATTGACTGCATGGAAGCTATTATTGATTAGTGCCAAAAAGATTTACCACAACCTAAGAAATGCTGCATTCAACAAATAAAAAAAAGGCATAAAATAATTTCAAATGGGTTATTTCTTGTTTTACACTTACCTTGCGAATAGACAGTTATATTGTGATTGGACCATTTTTACTGTCTCCCTACTCACTATGTCCTTTATGTATTTTGGAAGCCTGACAAATCCTTTTGCAGAGTTATTACCACCTTTTTTTCTTCACCTCACCACCACATTCATTTACTAATTGACAGCATAATCAGTGTTGAGATTACTGTCTCTGATGAAATTTGGAAATTACATCATACCTGTCGCAGAAAAAGTGAGAGAAAAAAAAGAGTGCCATAACTCATAAGAAGATCTTAGAATAATTTTGCTTTGGCCATTAAATGAGATTCTGCCCCCCTGCCTTTGCTCTATCTGAGCTTTTACCATTGGAAAATGATGGCAGTCCATCACAGCACCACCCAACAATGGGCCACGGCCGCAGTAAATCACAACACATTCATTAGCACGATCAATACCACTAAAATATGTGTGTATGTGTGCAAATGTTTAGGGTGTGTGTTTGTGTGTGTGAATCTAACTACTATATGAGCACCCATATTTTATTTTATACTCACCTCTCTTCTGAGCCTGACAGTGTCTTTTGCCAGGAACACTTTGTTATATATCTCCAATAAATCTCAAGAGGAGTGGCGGGCGCTAATGTGAGGAACTGGACGGTGATCAGTGATGCTTTTTAAGTGGCCGTTATCATCAAGGTGCACTTCCAAGTTTGATTGAAAAAATGAGACGGTGTTATTAAAAGAAAGTTTATAACTGGACACCAGTGTGGGTACGTATAATCTCTATAGTGACAAACAACCTCAATCTTATGATGTGTCTGATTTGATTATAATCCCCATTAGTAACTGAAACAGCTACTCTTCCTGGGGTCAACAGATAATACACTAACAGACAAATGATAGGAAAATAATATACAAGAGAAGAACAATAGAGGGCGAAGAGAATGAATCATCTTTGTGCTTGCTGTTGTGTAACTGTTGACATTTTTACTCAAGATATCAATCACCCACGCCTGTTTGGAGAATCATGATTTGTTGTTATTTGCCTGTTTTAGCTCATTGTTGCATACAATTACAAGATTAAACAGAGCACAGGAAACTCAATAAGACTCCGCACTGCCTAAATAAAGCCGAGCCAGGCTGGGCCGAAACCGGAAAAAAAAAAAAAAGGGCTGGCATGGACATCTTAAGTCCACACCTTCCTTCTTGTTCTCGGTGAAAAGAGAAAAGCGCTGTTTGGCCCTCTCACCCATCTCCAATTCCCATTTAGGAACCCTTCTCTCCCTGTTAATCAGGGGAAATAATTATCAAAGTGGACAGGTAATTAAATTAAAACATAAGTGGCTACATGAGCTGGGTTGGCTGTACTACAAGGTTTCCCCTGGCTTAATTAAGGAGAAATATGGGAGAGCTCACCCACAGTGTCACAGCGCTGGAAAAAAGGCGGAAAAAAAAGCTCCTGCCACTAACTTGAATAACTCAATCTGATCCCTTAAACGCAGGATTTTAGATTGATAAAAGAAAAAGAACTGATTCTGGCCTGAGTGGAAATGTGGGGGAGAATTCCTCTCCAGTGCTCATTCCTGAACGTATCAGCCCCGCAGACCATGTTGTTTGTTTGCGTATGAGAGCAAAAGCACATGTGTGGCAGAGGAGCGTGAGGCGAGGGAGCGCAGAAATGTGTGGTAGACGCATTAAAATCTGCAAGCTTTAGCAGCCATCTGGGAATAATGTCGTAAAATAAAGACACAATAAAATAAAACTTACTGCTGTTGATGTTTACAAACAACCCCCACAAAATCTCCACAATGCCTTGAGAGACAAACCCAAAGAGAGGTCTCACAACACACACACACACAGCCACACACATACACAAATAAACAGACCCAGAGCAGTAAAGCAGCGCAGAGACCATATTATCCAAACATTCACAAACACACTCATATGGGCCCACACCCACTTTGGTACACATATGAGTGTGCATGTTTACAAATAAAAAGACAAAGTGGGAAGGCTGCATATGCACACTCACATAAACAAACACACACACACAAACAAACACACACACACACAAATACCACTGCCGCCTCTGTGGTTATGCAAAAGACAACAGAAGACTGTCTGAAACTGCTTTTCTCAAGGCTGGGTGTATTACAATAATAAATGACTGGGTGTGCGTGTGTGTGTGTGTGCATGTGCGTGTGCGTGTGCGTGTGCGTGTGTGTGTTGTGTGTGTGTGTGTGTGTATAGCCTCATTGCAGACAATAGTTTCAGCATCGCTCTCCGAATATACTCTGATTGCTGGAAGACAATCAACACCTTCTTTCCATTAGCAGGTGTTTCATAAACATGTTTACTGTCACAGCTGCTACGTGTCTCACAAACACAGACACACACACACAAACACACTAAAGTGAGACATGCTAAGAGTGTGTTTATCACTACTCTCTCCTTTCCTTGGCCTTTAGTTGGAAGGGAATAATTAGGGAGTCCCAGCCAAGGCAGTGGTGTACGTGTTAACAAGCTGTTTTAACACACACTCACACACTTCTTCCCATAGGCAGGGATAGCCACAGAGAGCAAGAGAGGATCTTGTTCTATGCCTCAAGGACTCACTTCATTTTGAAACACCTCTGACCCACAAGTGGAGTCCAAAAACAAGCCTTTAGCCCGGATTGTGTGTTAATCTGACAGGTACAGACATCAGCAAGGCTCAAACAGAACAGCCAAGACTGCACCTGAAGAGTTAAAAAATAAAAAAGCCAGGGAACTATTCATTCTAAATAACATCCTCTCTTCAAAAAATTAAGTAAAAAATAGAGGAATGTATTTATGGATGAAGGATCAACCGTCAAATAATTTCCATCGTACGCAACCTATTCTAACTTTATTAGGGAATGTTGCTGTAATGAAACACCCTTGGAGTTTGAGCTTTTTGGGAGATACCATTAGATTCCAGTTCATATGCATTGATGCATCAGAGAGCAATGGAGATTTACTTCTGCCAATGAGTGTGTGTGTTCTGATGTTCTGGCAGTAAAGTGATTTAATTACACCACATCTGAGGCAGTGAATGTACATACACACATTCCCACACACACATGATTGTATGTTACACACTGACATGAGGAGGAGGAAAGGGAAGGAAGGAAACTGTTGACAAGTGTTTGAAAATGCAAGTTATTAGAATTTTTATGCGGCGTAAGAGTGACTGTACACACCTGGGATTCAAAGAAGGAAAGGGAAATGGAGATTATGGATGATTTTAATACATAACGCTTTATGTTACACGTGTTCTTTTCTAATTTGTACTTACATGTCACTTTCTTAGCTTTATATTTTTTATAAAATGCATTTGCTTTGCCGTTTTGAATATCATATGCACATTGTTTTGTAAAACTTACAATATATCTGTGGTAGCTTTAAGGTAAAACTTGAGCATGATAAACTTGAGCGGTTAACATAACATATGGCTTATTAGGAGTTATATAAAAATGACTATAGTTAAAAACCAATGTAGGGCTCAAAGTACATTTACTCAAGTACTGCTCTTTAGTACAATTATGATTCACATGGTTTTACTTGTTTTTTTTAACTATATATTTTACATTTAAGAAGCCAATATTGTACTTTTTCACTAAACTAACCTTTGGCGCTAGGGTTTTAATATCTTAGTTACCAGTTAATTAGCCATTTTTAATTCAGATACATTTTACAAAAAGAAATCATCAAATGAATTATGATGGATTACTATGGATTAGGCACCCTGCAGTGGTTGGAATTATCCCATCGTTACCAGCAGTACATTAGTGGTTCTTATACATTAATACATAACAAATCTAAGAATATAACATTTTAGTGAGATGGGCCATTCTGCATTATTACTTTTGACACTTAAAGCATATATTGATGCTAATGCTTCTACTTAAGTACAGTGCAAATATGAATGCAGGACTTTTGCTTAAGTGAGAGATTATACTTCTTCAAACGCTGGTTAATGGGTCAAGTTAACCCAGGACTCTGTCTGTACAATATCCATCCAAACTGGGTCAATTTTATCCAGCGATATTTAAGTGTGTGGCTGTGTGTGACACGACCTCAATGACGCCACACGCAGGGCGACATGACGGAACTGTGCCACTCTTCATGTCCGTCTGTCCATTTATGTGTAACTCAATCCAAGACATTCAGGATATATCCCTGAAACCCTATCCCTTCATCTGCTCACATGCAGGACATACAAACATACGTCAAGAAGACACACACAAACACACAAACCGACACACACTTTGAGCTTTCCAGTCCCTCCCTCGGTGCGATCTTGTATCAAAGCAAACAAATGACATGCTGTCTTCTCCTCTCTCCCCCCACTGTCTTTTTTG